ACATTTCAAATGGACAGCTAAACGGATATTGTCTGAAAATTGTTAGCAATTTCTCAGTTACTTGTTGTTACTTCTGTTTGTCATCTTTGGAATCTGTTCCGAATGATTATCACTGTTGTCTGTAAGCGGATTAGTAAAAATCACATTGGATAGATTTTGGATATAGGTATGCAAAAAAAAAAAAAGAAGAAAACGAAAAACCGTCTAAAAATTGCGACATTAATCTAAGATTAAACTGCTGCTGAGAAAAGGTCGGACAGACTATAGACGACTCTTTTTTTTTGTTTCTTGTTTGTTTTTGTTTTTGTTTTCTCTGAGAGGCTTTATTGAAAGATTTGAAGAAGTAAAACATTTATTAAACAACGTTAAACAGAAAAAACTATTCGGAGAAAGGATTAGACAGAATCAGAGGCAAAAAACTTGGGTAAAATGATTGATCATACATCCCTCTCTTTTCTGGTTGTCTGTTTTATTCTTTGTTTTTGCATTTTAATAATTTAAAGAAAACCAAAAAATAAAAAAAAATAAAAGAACCGCTACCAATGTTCTGTTGGTTTGTAAAACAATGGAAACAGAACTGAAAAGATTGTCGGATTTTTAAAAATGTTGTTGTTTGTCAAATCTTTTCTCCTCTTTGTTTTTTCTTTTCTATTTCTGTTTACTTTTCCTTGTTATAAACTATTTTAGTGGAACAATACTTGTGAACAGTAATCATGGGAAGCTAAAACACTGGTTTTTTTTTTTTCATATCTATTAAGCTATTTTGTTTGGATATTTTTGTTCTCAAATAATAGTTACTCATTCAGAATACCATAGTTTATAAGAACACTTTTTGAAGCTCTTGACTTAGACCAACTGTTATCGCATCATCAGTGGCAATGACAATACAGCAGCATTACTGGCAGCCACATTTTGAGTACTGTTTAACGGGTACACCGGTTTGGTAGCTTTCAATGATTGTTTGGTTGGCTAATTGGCTATGTTATGGTTGGTCAACATGGCGTAGAAAACCAGTTGAATATCATTTTTCAACAAATTTCTATTGCTGCTACTACTGCTGCTGATGATGATGCTGATGATGCTGATGATGCTGAAGTTGTTGTTAATGACGATGCTGGTATACTGTTGTTATCGTTGTTGTTGTTGAGGCTTTTTTTTTTACAGATTTGTTTTCAAGTAACAATGGATTTCTGCAGTTCTTTTTTGATAGTTTTTAATGAAATATCTGTCTGCTAAACTTCCTACTTCCTCTTTTTTTTGTTTGTTTGTTTGTTAACGATACCACATTGCATTGCAGAATTTTTGTAGTTTATACAACAAAAAGAAAAAGGGTGAAGAGGAGAGGGGACAAAAACCATATGTGGAGTTTTTAAAA